AAACATAAATGGGATAGAACTTGCCAAGTAGGAAGCTGAAAGAGATTTAGGGATGTTAGTTGAATCATTGTTCACTATGTCAAGATATTGTGAGACAAATATAAACAAGACAAACGGGATGCTCAGCTACACGTTGGTGCTCAACGTCACCTATGCTGACATTCAGTGCAGTGCTGGGGATGTGCTGCATTGTCAGAGGTGGCGTCCTTTGGATGAGACAATAAACCAAGGTGCTGCCTGCCTGTTCAGGTGGAACATTAAAGATCCCACTCTACTCATAAAGAGTAGGGCCCTGGCTTTCTGACCAACAATCCCCAAATATAGTTGGTAATTTGTTTCATGGTTGCTTGTGGAACATTGCTATGGGCAAAAGGGCTGCTGCCTTCTCCTTCAAATACAGTCACTAAACATTCAGACGTCCTCCCAACTTGGAAGCTGCAATACCAAGAGCAAGGATTATTATTATTATACACTGAACAATCTCTGGGGACCCTCTGGTTACAAACTGAGGGTTTCAGTTTACATCTCAAAGTGTGATACACTGTAAAGTGTATACTGTGTATTTTGTGGGCGAGGACATGGTAGGAAGACTGTTCGCCCACAAACATTCCTCTTTATTTAGTGGACTGTGTTTTGGGGCAAATGTGGCAGCCCAATGCCATGTAGCAGTGCCAGCAATGTCCCACACACCAGCCATGAAATGAGTGTCCAATTCTTTTGGCAGGATCCTTTACATAAAGGTTAATAAAATAAGTGACTGAGAACACTCAGCAGGTCAGGCAGCATCTGTGGAGTCAACGTTTCAGGTCGATGACCTTTGGTCATTTTCCTCTCTCCATAGATGCTGCCTGACCTGGTGTAGGTTTCCAGTGACTTCTGTTTTTATTTCAGGTTTCCAGCATCTGCAGTATTTTGCCTTTTGTTTGCATAAGGAGGCTTCAGAGTCCGGCTTAAAATTGGCCAACAGTTCAACATCTACATCCAAGGGTTTTCGCTAAATGGTCCTCCCCTTCTGAAGGTGTTGATTCACTTTGTGATTTGCTTACAAGCTGCTGTCTAGGATCTCCAATTGCAGTATCTGGAGATTTCCCTTCCTCCCTACCTCTCCGACCTGCTTACCCCCAATTCCACCACCCCCTGCCTCCGCTCGGCTGGCTCCGGCCTCATATTTGTCTCTCGTGCCCTCCATTCCACTATCGGTGGCTGTGCTTTCGAACACTACGCCCCCAAACTCTGTAACTCTCCCTCAATCCCTTCCCTCACCCCCTCCCTCCCCACCTTCAAATCCCGCCTAAAGACTTCCGTTTTTGATCGTCCTTACAGTCACCTCCCTCCCCCCTCTCTCTCCGCTACTGTGAAGGGCTCCGGGACGCTACCCTGTGTGAAGGGCACTGTATAAATGCTGTTGTTGTTGACTCTTCCTCTTCTTTAGTTGGCGATGCTCAACATGTTATTTGGGAGTAGAATTCCCGTGACAATCAAGCTGAGGATGGTTGTGCTGGGAATGGTATTTTGGGCACCAATGCTCAAGGTTACACGTGGCCTGTGATGGCCGTTATGTGGGAGAGTATCCAGACACTCACTGTCGTGGCTCACGCCTGGGGAATGGCCAGCAGGTGGCAGCTTGTGCTCATGGAAGCAAATAAATAAGTAATAAATAATCCTTACATTTGAAAACTCAGCGCCTTATCACGTCTTCGAGACGTCTCAAAGCACTTCACAGGATACACTGTAAAGTGAATTGACTGTATATTTTGTGGGCGAAACGCGGCAGCCAATTGCACACAGCAGTGTCCAACAAACAGCCGTGGATTGAGGACTACATTTTTTATTTTTTGGAATGGGAGGGATACCCCGGAAAAGTGATCCACCAATTGACTAACAACCAGGTTCCTACTTACTGCTAACTAAACAGAGGTGTGTGTGTGGAGTAAAGAAACTTGCCTAAGGTTTTGCCCTGACCCAGGAATCGTACCCAGATCCTCTCCCTTGCGAGGCGAGTGCTCTAACCACTGAACTACAGGAACTCCACAAGTTCCAGCCTGAACTGTAAAATTGTTTTGTGAAAAAAGTCCCATCGTCCACATGACTAGCAATGACTTACAAACAACACCTGCTGGGAAATTCTGCTCTTTGTTTGAACCGATTTCATTGGAAATGTTAACATGAGCCGAGCAGTCCACGATGGAGGATTGGTTCACACTGAGGTGGGGCCACTTCATGGACTCAGACCAAGTGGAACAGAGCCAGGTGGGAGGGGGAGAAGTGGCAGGAAATAGAATCAACTTCAAACCCTCCGAGTACGTAAAGACGGAGCCAAGACTTTAAGAGAATTCCAATAAGTATATTAGGAACAAACGAAAAAAGAACGTTTCAGGTTAAGAGCATCTACAATGTCAAGTTATCTCAAAGCATTTCACACTAATTTCTGCCTCTTGTAAATGACTGGGTTTTGTGGGCAAAAACAGTCATTTTACGCACCACAACGTTCCATAAACAACCATGAGGTGAATGATCAATTCATAACAATAATCCTTGCATTTGGTGCAGTGAGTACAACATTGAATCATCTCAAAGTGATGCTATTGGGATTCACCGGGATTTGCTCTCACGTGTAGTGACTGTACTTGTAACAAATAAAACCTCTCATTCATAAATTTACAGGGCAAACAGAATCAATAAAGAGTGCGTTTCACTTCCCCGTGAAAACTTCTATCAAACCAATTGCACTTGGAAGGATAAATATGTCACTGAGGTGAAGGGATAAATCTCCACTTAACCCTCTCTGCTCTAAGGAGAGTAATCCCAGCCTCTCCAGCCTCTCCATGTAACTGAAGTCCCTCATCCCTAGTATCATCCTGAGAAACCTTCTCTACACCCTCTCCAAGGCCCTGATATCCTTCCTAAAGTCTGGTGTCCAGAATTGGACACAATATTCCAACTGAGGCCAAACCAGTGATTTGTGAAGAATCAACATAACATCCTTTCTTTTATACTCTATACCTCTATTTATAAAGTCGGGGATCCCATATGTTTTTTAGTAACTTTGTCAACTAGTCCTGCCACCTTCAAAGATTTGCTTATCATCGTAGAATCATAGAATTACATAGCACAGGAGGAGGCCATTCAGCCCATCGTGTCTGTGCCGCTCTTTGAAAAGAGATTCCAAATCAACCCCACTCCCCCACTCTCTCCCCATAGCCCTGATCAACCCCACTCCCCCACTCTCCCCATAGCCCTGATCAACCCCACTCCCCCACTCTCCCCATAGCCCTGATCAACCCCACTCCCCCACTCTCCCCATAGCCCTGATCAACCCCACTCCCCCACTCTCCCATAACCCTGATCAACCCCACTCTCCCGCTCTCTCCCCATAGCCCTGATCAACCCCACTCCCCCACTCTCCCCATAGCCCTGATCAACCCCACTCCCCCACTCTCCCCATAGCACTGATCAACCCCACTCTCCCGCTCTCTCCCCATAGCCCTGATCAACCCCACTCCCCCACTCTCCCCATAGCCCTGATCAACCCCACTCCCCCACTCTCCCCATAGCACTGATCAACCCCACTCTCCCGCTCTCTCCCCATAGTCCTGATCAACCCCACTCCCCCGCTCTCTCCCCATAGCACTGATCAACCCCACTCTCCCGCTCTCTCCCCATAGCACTGATCAACCCCACTCTCCCGCTCTCTCCCCATAGCACTGATCAACCCCACTCTCCCGCTCTCTCCCCATAGTCCTGATCAACCCCACTCTCCCGCTCTCTCCCCATAGCCCTGATCAACCCCACTCCCGAGTGCGGCAGCCAATTTGCATACAGCGACATCCCACAATCAACCATGATTGACCCCCCAGGTCTCTATTCGCACTCCCCCTTTAAAATTGTACCATTTATCTTATATCACCGCTCCTCATTCCTCCTCCCAAAATGCATCACTTCACACTTCTCCACATTGAATTGCATTGGTGACTGTTCGGTTCCACAGTGGTCTGTGGGCTGTTGATGGTGCAAATTGACCTCCGCGCTCTTGGGTTACTACACTTTACAGTGTATCCTGGGAAGAGCTTTGAGACGTCCTCCAAACATGATACGGCGCTATATCAAACATAAGGATTGTTGAATAGACATCACCAATTCCTGGATTGCACTGCAGCAATTGCTTTCAAGCTGTGCAGTGACTTGACATCCCGCTGTTGGCTTTGGTCACCACGGACCTCTCCAAATTGAAGCAGTAAGTCTCATTTTGAGGATGGGTTAGGAACACAGGCCTGTGCCTGCCCTATAATCCCATTATTATTATTAATACATATCTCTTCTTTCCTATAATCCATCTTGCTGGGATCTGGCTCTGCAAACGGTGGCCAACCTCAGCACTTCTTCATGTTTCAACTCGTGTTAAACCGTTAAAAGGGGAGGTGAGGGTGTAGGAAGGTCACCATAGGCAACGCTGGTCCAACTCTCACTTATCCGTCACACACTCTTCAGCAACTCAGGGATCAGACACTCGGGTTTCCCCCTCCCTCACCCAAAGGCATGACAACACAATGTACTCCTCCACAGTCACTGTTGAGATTTACAGATTTCAAACGAAAGTGTGGCTCAGACAGCTTCAGCACACAGAGCACTTCATCAAAGATACAGGAGTCCAACAGCATCATCCAATTGTAATATAATAATAATCCCTGCATTTGATATAGCACTTTTCACATCTTTGAGAAGTCTCAAAGCGCTTCACAGAATATACTGTAAAGTGAATTAACTATATTTTGTGGGCAAAACGCGGCAGCCAATTGTGCACAGCAGCGTCCCATAAACAGTCATGGATTGAGTGACGAAATTATTATTATTTTTGTTTTTTTATTACCCCTGGAAAAGCGATCCACCAATCGACTAACAACTGGATTCCTACCTACTGCTAAGTAAATAAAGGCGTAGTTTAATCTTGTTTCAATGCAATGACTCATTTGTACTGAAATCAAAAGAAACATTACAATTGCAACATTTAAAAACATTTTTAATTCAGGGTATTTTTTGGTTATTTCGATATACAGAAGTAAAAATTTGCACAATGTACATAATACAGATTCAAATTGAGGTATTTCATAATAAAAATAGTGCGAACGAAACAAAAATCGAGAGAAAAACAATGAAAATTGGGGTCACATTCTTTAAGGGGGGGGTTACATTCATAACATGGTGACATTGTCCACGTTATACACACACACACATGTCCCTTACAAACAACCCCATACACCTGAATTATTGATTCCAAAAATAATGTAACAGCGCAGAGTTCAAAAATAAACAATGCCGTGTAACTGTTCTGCAAAAACAAGGAACTGAGAAACAGACATTACCAACACTGAGTCTTGAGGAAGCGAGAAGCGCAGCTCCTGTCACTGGGCTCCATATCACACCGTATGTGACCACCACTCCCTCCCCTGCTCTGCCATCTCCCTCTGGTGACATGGACAATGTGGCCACAGATGGGAAGCTGTTCTTGAACCAAGCAATAATAACCCACACCCACCCTCCACCCCACATACTAATTAAACACTGGTGGAATCTCTCATGTTTCAATCTGCTCCAGACCTTCTCGCATTGCCGTTTGCTACAGATTCGCGAAAGATAGAAACGGAGCTATAAACTAGGCCGATCAGGGCCAAGCACAACAGCTGCGTGTTCCGCAAAAGCAGCTGCTTCCATAATCCTTCCAGAGACAGAATTTATCGAAGATCTTTAACAAAAAGTTAAGTGAATGAGGGGGTAAAACTAAACATGATCAGGACCCGACTGGTCAACAAACCCCGGTCAGGATTGACCAGCCTCCAGAGGCCAACCCAGGGTCTAGTGGGGCCACCATGTGCTGAACGGTTTGGGACAGATGGTAAGTCGCTGAAATGGTAATGGAATGATGGGAGTCTCACAGTGGAGTTCAGGCTAAAAATAAGTATCTGAACAGCCCGGAGCTGGCAGGTCCCTAATCCATCGACCAGATGGGCGAGGGGTTATCCTTTCAGGTCCTGGAAGAGTTATTGGGTAAGAGTGGCTCTCAGTCATAGAGCATTTCATATCACGAAGGAAGATAATAATAATCTGTACCATTCTCCCCAGTGAGGGACAGGAACAAGAGCTGGAGCCTAATATTCCTCTTCAGCCTCTGCCCTTCCCAACTCAAAAGTTACAACCAATAAAAAAAACTCAACAAAGTAACAAATATACTAATGTGTCCGGTATTAACAGGAACTTCTCATCAAGTACAGAAAAAACACAAGAGACTCGAACATGATGGAAGCTCATTGTCCAGAACTCCACAGCTGTTTGTGGTGGGTGAGGAAGTCCCCAAAATGGACTCGACTTCGCCCCCAAACACACTGAGCAAACACTGAGATCAGGTTCATTACCACCAGGTTATGTTGCACATTGTTTACAATATAAAAAATTCACCGGCTTTGAATTGAAAACTTCCAATACTGAATTGTTGAATACTTGGCTTATTGGCTATATCTGGCACCATCCTTTGCAAAGCAGCTTTCTTTGACAAGAAACGTGAAGCTGCCCATCACTAGTGCTGATTTATCATTCGCAGTTTCCTAGCTCACAGAACAAGTCGTCTAGTTGTAAACCTGGGCTCACCAGAGACATTCGGTTAATAGCACAGATCTAGCGATGGCTTCAAATCCAAATCTTATGTATAGCCTATATATTACTCAGAAGCCTGAAGCTATCCAGGTGTAAAATGCTGATTTTAGCTTTCTGCTTCATGTTCCTAATGTAGTCAAGCCCCTGGAGTACCTGCTTGGTCTATCAGAGGATTGTGGCCCTCACCAGGCTCACCAATCTGTGTCGGGGCGTTCTCAATGACAACTATGTTCTCGTCTATTAATTCGCAGGTGGGATTTGAAAAGGCAGACAATGGCAGAGTAATACGATGCATTTCCCTCTCATAGGCCCTCTGCTCTTGTTGTTTCTTCAGGTTTTTTCCCCTGTAAGAAACGATAAAACAGATTATTAAAATCCCCTTTGTGTACCATGGTCCATATTACAACCTTTCCTATCTATTTTAATCAATACTATTATAGTTATTGCTTCCTCTCTTGCACTGACTAAGCTCCAAGTAGGTTGTCCTACTTATCTCTCTTCCTCCAACTTGCAGTGTAACCGAGGCCCACGATAAACTGGGGTAAAGAGACATGGGGAAGAGGCAGACACACACACAAACACACAGAATTTCTCTGTAGTGCATGAGGGAGGAGAAAGATGACCAGCAAAAAACAAGAGAGCTGCTCCTGCTCCTGAGAAATGTGGTCCAAAACCTACCTGTAACCTGCGTAAGTAACTCTGTGTTTGACTCTGGCTAAACAATCCAGGTGTTCCTCAGAACCAGGAGGAATTCTGCAATTTTGCTGCTATCTTCCTTCCAACCACACTTTACCAACGAAGCTGGGAAGTATTCTGTGCTGTCTGCCTAACCGTCCCAGGGTAAACTATCGTGATCACAGAGTGAGCTGTATTCCAGCTTTGTGTGTGTTAACCGGAGACACTGATCCAGTTCACTTATTGTGTTCCTCCTAAGACAATGTCAGAGCCATTCGGTCGCTCACACAGACTGATGTTGGTTCTGAAACCTGGATTTTGTGGCTAACGCCTTCCTCTTACAATCTACAAGTAAAACACCAAACCCTGTGATCACAGAGACAAAGCCTCGGTTCAGCTTTTCTCATGTTTAAGGTCTGCTCTGCAGTTTGGAACTTGGATATGTATCCAGGTTTGACTTAGCAGCAGGCGGATTCCAGGTGTTTGACGGCTGGAGCGCAAGGGGACGTTTGGGTTCCAGTCAATCACAAGTGGCTCAGCTGTCAATCCATCACCATTTCCCTCCCTTGTTCTTCCCTCTTCCTCCGCCTCCTCATTGATTGACAGCCCAACTCCAGCCGCTTGTGAATGGCTGGAGTCCACTGTCAATCGCAATTTGACTCCTCCCATCTCCATCCAGGAGCCCCTCTGGCTGAATGGACTACATTCACCGGTGAACATTTGGCCCAGATCAACCGCATTTTCACCCGAATTAACATACATATTTTAAACAGATTAGGATACAAATGAGTCGGGGACAGATGTTTTGTTCGATTTACCCAATGTCCGGGTTAACCAGTGTCCAGCTAAAGTGGCTTCCACTGTACTTCACATCCGCATGAGGTAACTCCACAAAATCAAGTCTTTTTATTTTGCTAAAAGGTCTTCCACTAGTGATGTCCCCATTTTGTCCACACTATCAACTGACTCAAAAGGGTTGCTCTAAGGAATATCTCACACAAAAATGTTCATTATAAATCTTGCATTTGATATAGCGCCTTATCATCTTCAAGACATCTCAAAGCACTACTTTAAACTGTATATTTTGTGGGGGAAACACTGCAGTCAATTGCGCACAGCAGTGTCCCACAAACAGTCGTGGATTGAGTGACCAAATTATCATTATTTTTTTAAAAAAAATTTAAGGGGTATTATCCCCGGAAAAGTGATCCGCTAATCGACTAACAACCAGGTTCTTACTTACTGCTAGGTAAGCAAAGGCATGTGGAGTAGGAAACTTGCCCAAATAATAATAATAATCCTTGCATTTGATATAGCACCTTATCACATCTTTGAGACGTCTCAAAGCGCTTCACAGAATATAGTGTAAAGTGAATTGACTGTATATTTGTGGGCGAACGCGGCAGCCAATTGCGCACAGCAATGTCCCACAAACAGTCGTAGATTGAAAATGACCAATTTATTTTTGTTTTTGGTTTTGGAGGGATTATTATTAGGCTCTGTGTGGAGTAAGGAAACTTGCCCAAGGTAAAACGAGTGCTCTAACCACTGAGCTACAGGACTCCACTAAGTTTTTCCCTGCCCTGGACAAAATGTTGGATATAAAAGCTTCACTCCTTATATTTTTCCTAATAATCCAAACCCAAATATGAAATACAGTTTCTGATCTCAACTCGATGTTGCACTGTGTAATACTCCCACCCCAAAACAAACACCTGCCCCCGGCTCGAATGAAGCATCTCCAAAGGATTTACAGCACTTACCGTTTGTAGAAGTATCCTAAGGTGATGCCAACTCCCAGGACAATGATAATCGCCATCATTCCAATTGCCAAAGCTTTACCTGGAGTATTAAAAGTAACAGGAACTTTTACTTAACCCAAACAATGGAATTTGAAGTTTTGACTGAATTAGTCTTTCAAATTCTACTCCGAAATGAAAGGTCAGCAGTGCTCCCTCCATCAAAGGTAAAAACAGCAGGAAGAGGATATGTGCAGTTTCCTTAAATCACCAACAACACATCTCTGAGTTAACAGGTTTCTTACTGCAGTTAAAACATCGACCCCACTTCCTCTGACTTGACTAAATTTCATGTTAAGTTAAGCCACGGGAGTCGATGGCTGAGCCGCAAGTTACATCATTAGTGAAACAGGATCCAAAGCCTAACATGTAACGGCCTGAAAGGCTGGAAACAGATTCATTAATAACTTCCAAAAGGGAATTAATAGGAACTTGAAAAGGAAACATTTGCGGGGTTTTGGGGAAAGAGCGGGGGAGTGGGGCTGATTGGGTGGCTCTTCCAAAGAGCCGGTAGTGGCACGATGGGAGGAATGGCCTCCTTCTGTGTTGTAATATTCCATGATTCTACGAAATAGTCATAGCTCCTGTTCCAGATTTCTTGCTACCTATATGGAGGATAGATGACGGCAAATGGGGTTAATCTGTAAGAACCCTATAACTGAATACCCTCCCGACACTCAGCATCCAATCTCATGTCTGAATAACGTGAGATATTGATTAAGGTTCTGGAGTGCACTGAGCACCCACTGGACCCACTCTCAGTATGTTAGCACTTTCAGGAGAGCGGGGAGCAAAACCAGGGAAATAAACTGGGAAATCAGTCACTTGCACATATCACAGTCATAACAGGTTTAATCTACTGAATAAGGAATAAACCAATTGGTTCTTGAAACATCTGGTTTTCAGGTGGTCATTTTAGACACATCACCTTCAAAACGGCCTGGCAAAAAAACTGCTGATTTACTTAAGTTCAAAGAACATACCAATAACTCCCAGGTCCTTCTTGCCCTTGGACCTTTGCCTGACATGTTGGCTTATCCCTATGACCGGCTGCACCACAACATCTTCATTGCTCGGGGGAGGTGCCTCAACCTCCTCAGATAGCGTCTCCTCACTGGAAAAGGCTGTCACCGTCTTAAGATCAACTGTGGTTGCGCTCAGGTCTTCATCTGAGGCAATATCCACTGGAAAGACAGAGAGGGGGGAAAAGAAGTGATTAAGATCAGAGACAAGCCATTACTTAAACCCAAACTGTTATGAAGAACCTTCACAACAGCTGATAAACAGATGTACTGATAGTAACTATGCAAACTGGATCATGAGAATTTATGTCATTTAATAAGATTGTGTTTTCAAAACATTGTTTGACAAATGTTTTTACTGTTTCACATGACTGCCGTATGAATGAATATAAAGATGGCATCAAGTGTTTCAGAGGCGCAGTCAATAATGTTATTCCTTTCTCACAAAATGGATCCCTCCAGAGGCAAAGCAGCTCAAAATCCATACCACAAGGTTTGATACCTGTCAGGCTGAAATCAAACCTTGTGGTATGGATTTTGAGCTGCTTTGCCTCTGGAGGGATCCATTTTGTGAGAAAGGAATAACATTATTGACTGCGCCTCTGAAAGAAAGAACCATCGGAAGGACCTGCGTCCTACACGGGAGGTATTTTCCTCTGGCTGTGCTGTGCATTGCTCTGTAGCTGATCCATACGCACACATGGAATGATCCCATAAGTTGCCATGTGCAAATAGGAAATCTATCAGCGTTCCCACTCCTGATCAATATCCAAAAGATCCTATTTATCCACCAATACATAGTCACTCCATTTCACAGTACATCCTGTGAAGCACTTTCTGAGAAATGCTCCTGATATGAAAGGCTTATACCAAATGCAATAATTATTTATTTACTGGAAAGTATATGGGAGAAGAGGAAGAAATTGTCATTTGTGACAAAATTATTGGCCGATTTAAACTATTTAGCACTTCATAAATATACATTTGAAAAGTTGGCAAAGAGTTAACACTGATTGTTCATCACACGCGTTTACCTCAGTTTGGCTTATTTCTCTGCAGATAATTTACACATCAAATTTCATCAAAAGCAGTATTTTTAAATTATTTTTAATAATAATCCTTGCATTTGATATAGCGCTTTTCACGTCGGGAGGACGTCTCAAAGCGCTTCACAGAATATACTGTAAAGTGAATTGACTGTATATTTGTGGGCGAAGGCGGCAGTCAATTGCGCACAGCAATGTCCCACAAACAGTCGTAGATTGAAAATGATCAATTTATTATTGTTTTGTTTTGGGGGGATTATTATTAGAAGATAAAGTTCTTATATAAGGTATGTGAGAGGCCGTCAAGCACATGGAGTTCATCTGAATGACAAGGCCTGTAGGGCCTCAGCTCTCCTTGCATTTGGTGCAGTCTCGTTCCTGGAGCAGATGGGAATCAAAGCATCACAACTCGAAACCTGAATCTGCTCAGTAGTTCTGTGCTCTGCAGATAATTTAACACTAATAATAATAATGCTTGCATTTGACATAGCACCTTATCATGTCTTCGAGAGTTTGGGGGCGTAGTGGCTGAAAGTGCAGCTGGCAATGGTGGAATGGAGGGACACGCAGGAGGCTGGAGCCAGTCGAGTGGAGGCAGAGGGGAGTGGGTTTGGGGGTTTAGCAGGTCGGAGAGGTAGGGAGGTACCAGGGCACGAAGGGGTTTGGAAACGAGTGTGAGGACCTACAGCTACAGAAATGCAAGTTGTCATTGAGTTTAGGATAGGCTGCGGGTTAGTTAATGACTGGGTATCCAACAAATAACAGTCCATCTTTTTATTATCTTTCTTTCCTTGTTACCTGGAGGCTGTTGTGTGCTGGGGTATACCCCCCTCGTAGCAGATCACCAGTGAACCCCCAAGTGTCGTTCCTTCCTTGAAGGAAGGAACTGTGACCTGCTAACCCCATATCAAGCTGTCCACCCCTCCGCTCAGCAGGCTCTGACCCACTCCACCATCGATGGTCGGGCCTTCAGCCTCTCTGCTCCCACACTTTCAAAATCCATCCCACAGTCCCTTGGCCTCACACCCTCACTTGCCTCCTTCAAAGCTTTCCAGACCTTGCTCTTCGACCATGCCTTCAGCCACCCTCCGACCCCTCCTGATCCCAACCCGCAGCTCAGGAGCAAATCCCTGACTGTCTAGTGCCTTGGGACGTCACCCAAGTGTGAAAGGCACTGTGTCATTTGTTGTTGTTGCTGTTTGATCATGGAGGCATCACCGCTGGACTGATTGTCCTCTCCAAACATTTATCATGTCACTCTCTCTGTCAGGCTGTGTGTTGCTCAGTGACTGTCTCCGATTTAGCACCTCAGGAAGTCGGGTCCTGGGATTTGAGGCATAAAAATCCCCAAATCCTAAAATTCCAAAAAAAGCATTGGGATTGCAATCCCTATTCACAACCCTCTGTGTGGAGATGTTTCCTGACCTCAGTAATAACCGACCTGGGACCTGATTGTAAATCTATCTATTGAAAAGTACAAAGACAACAACAACAACAACAACATGCAATGATATAGTCCACCCACCTTGACAAGTGCCTTTGACCAGAGATAGACTGATATCTACCATTTCAAATTACACCAAGAACACCCCCCAATAGTAGTGGGAAGATCAGAAGAATAAACACAGAGTGATCAAAAAGTGGTCATACCATTACAATGTCTAATAAGTCTTAAAAGAAAATGATGATATCTTTGTTTATTAGATAATACGGTAATTACCACAACTTTTTGGTCACCCTGTAAATAAATAAACATATGCACGCATGACCCTTGTTGATGATCTGAAACATTAACTCATTTTCCTCTCTCTATAGATGCTGCCTGACCTGCGGAGTGGTCGCAGCGACTACTGTTTTCCTTCTCAAACCATGTGGGTCATGACCCAACTGTGCAGCGCCTCGGGACGTCCTCCTGACGTGAAAGGCGCTTTATAAATGGAATCTTGTTGTTGTTGTTGTTGAGGTGTCTGTAGGGCTGTTTTTTGGGGGGCAATGGCCCAGGTGTGTTTTGTGTGACATACACCATGTGGGCAAAGGTCCAGGGAAAGCGCAGACCTGCTGTTACACACATAATAAAGCAAGAAGACACCAATAATCCTGGCCCATGGAGAAGCACCACATGTTTATGCAGTTAACGTGACTCACACATTATGTAAATGATTATTAGAGCCAGTGACAGGGTTCTGAGACTCGGAGACAGACGGTCCAATAGGCAGAGACAGGGGTTGTGGACTCTTCTCTCTTTATCTGATCAGAGGAGTATTTAAATAGCCATTAACCGCCCCCACCCCCACCCCCACCCCTCCTCGTGATTGACTGGCAATTCCTGCAGCTGATAAAGCTCTTGTTTAAAGGTGGGGCAGAAAAACAGGGCATTTTATGTACCCAAAGTGACATTATCCATATAAACCGTACAGTACTGACAATTCAAAGTTCAACGCCCTCACAACACCCCCCACACAAAAACAAGGAGTTCTGCACAAACTGAAAGCAAAGCGGTTTCTCCCAGAACTTCACACAGGTTTGGGGAAGTTCCTGTGTTTACAGAGTGTCAGAGGTGCTCTCTGACACCGAGCGAGTGGGCACTTCCCAGAAAGGCTCCATCACACTGATCAAACCCACACCCGACAGCCAGGCGGGCGGGGGGGTACTGAGGGGGCGGGGGGGTACTGAGGGGGGCGGGGGGTACTGGGGGGGTACTGAGGGGGGCGGGGGGGTACTGAGGGGGGCACTGAGGGGGGGCGGGGGGGGTACTGAGGGGGTACTGACGGGGGCGGGGGGGGTACTGAGGGGGGCACTGAGGGGGCGGGGAGGGTATTGAGGCGGGCGGGGGGGGTACTGAGGAGGGCGAGGGGGGGTACTGAGGAGGGCGAGGGGGGGGGGGGTATTGAGGGGCACTGAGGAGGGCGGGGGGGTACTGAGGGGGACACTGAGGGGGCGGGGAGGTATTGAGGCGGGCGGGGGGGTACTTGAGGGGGGCGGGAGGGGGCGGGAGGGTACTGAGGGGGGCACTGAGGGGGGGGGGGGGTACTGGGGGGGGCACTGAGGGGGTGGGGGGGCTACTGAGGGGGGCACTGAGGGGGGCGGGGGGGTACTGAGGGGGGCACTGAGGGGGGCATGGGGGGGTCCTGAGGAGGGTGAGGGCGGGGATACTGAGGAGGGCGAGGGGGTACTGAGGAGGGCGAGGGGGGGTACTGAGGAGGGCGAGGGGGGTACTGAGGAGGGCGAGGGGGGTACTGAGGAGGGCGAGGGGTACTGAGGAGGGCGAGGGGGGGTACTGAGGAGGGCGAGGGGGGTACTGAGGAGGGCGAGGGGGGTACTGAGGAGGGCGAGGGGTACTGAGGAGGGCGAGGGGGGTACTGAGGAGGGCGAGGGGGGTATTGAGGAGGGTGAGGGGGGTACTGAGGCAGGCGAGGGGGGGATTGAGGAGGGTGAGGGGGGGTACTGAGGCAGGCGAGGGGGGTATTGAGGAGGGCGAGGGGGGTACTGAGGCAGGCGAGGGGGTATTGAGGAGGGTGAGGGGGGTATTGAGGCAGGCGAGGGGGGTATTGAGGAGGGCGAGGGGGGGTACTGAGGAGAGCGAGGGGGGTACTGAGGAGGGAGAGGGGCGGTACTGAGGCAGGCGAGGGGGGGTACTGAGGCAGGCGAGGGGGGGTATTGAGGCAGCCGAGGGGGGTACTGAGGCAGACGAGGGGGGGTACTGAGGAGGGTGAGGGGGGTATTGAGGAGGGTGAGGGGGGTATTGAGGAGGGTGAGGGGGGTATTGAGGCAGGCGAGGGGGGTACTGAGGTGGGCAAGGGGGGTACTTTGGAGGGCGAGGGGGGTACTGAGGAGGGCGAGGGGGGTACCGAGGAGGGCGAGGGGGGTACTGAGGAGGGGGAGGGGGGTACTGAGGAGGGCACTGAGGAGGGCGAGGGGGGTACTGAGGAGGCCGAGTGGGGGTACTGAGGAGGGCGAGGGGGGTACTGAGGAGGGCGAGGGGAGGTACTGAGGCAGGCGAGGGGGGTATTGAGGCAGGCGAGGGGGGTATTGAGGAGGGTGAGGGGGGTACTGAGGAGGGCGAGGGGGGTACTGAGGAGGGTGAGGGGGGGTGTACTGAGGCAGGCGAGGGGGATATTGAGGCAGGCGAGGGGGGTATTGAGGAGGGCGA